AAACTGGTGACCTTAGAAGAATCTCATGTACTTATTAACCAGCAAACTTAAAAATTAAATAAAATATCAGCTATTTGGAGCTTCTAGTTAATCATGAAAGGAATAAACAGTGAAGCACGAAACTCCATGTTAATCAACTGTCAGTCTATCAATCCATGTTTCCTCAAAGTAAAAATGGTAAACTGTACTGAAAAATAAAATAAGATAAAGCTATGTCTGTGTGACTGAAAAATTCAGCTAGCTCCATTCCCAGTACAGTTAATACAAATGGCCGAATGACATGGCCCAGATGTAGACTAACATGATCTATAAATCATAAGCCTGCAAACTTACCAGAAGTAGTTTTAATAGTGATTTAAAAAAAGAAAAGGTTCCAAATAAAGTTATTCTTATTATGATTTCTATATTGTTATTTGCATGAATGATCATGAACTATTTTCTTAGTCCATTAGCTCTGGCATTCATTAATAAGAACTGCTAGAATGTCAAAAATGCAATAATTAAATTAAACTACCAATTATTTTAATTTATTCAAAATGAAAATAAATATCCATATGGAAAGCTTTGTCATGTAAATGGTTTCAAAATAAAACACAAAGACAAAATGGCAAGTTAAATGATACTATCAAAGTGAATGGAATAAACTTTCAAATTTTTCAAACTAAATATATATAGTCCCTCTCATCAGTTGAAGATGCAATATTGAACTTCAGTCAATCAAGTCTGATTTTTAGGATGCCTTCAGAATTGAAGTCTAAGACCACAACTCACAAAAAGGGAGTACTTTGCTGCTTCACAGCAGGATGCAAATTCCTTTTTCTAAGCAGAATTCCAGACATTCCACGTGTCTTCTATAAAAATAGAAGATGTCCATTTTAAAGTAGGCCAGGCTGAACTCATACCAGCATAAATGGCCAAGAAATGCACTTATCGCAAGAAGGTTTACATTTGCTCTTGTAAGCAAACTACAGATTTCCACTCTTCAGTTCCATCCTTATGCTTCCTCTGACTCCTCCTTACAAGACACTGCACACTATAAAGAGATGAGCTTTTGGCCCCAGGAAAAACATTAGATTAGGAAGGCTTTTAGGAGAAAAAGTGGGTGAAGTGCTTGGTTCTCCCTCTTTCCAGAACAAAAACAAGTCCTTCAAAAAACTTATTTGAATAATGATATTTAAAGATTATCAATTCCCATAATTCAGTAACTTGGTTAAGGTAAATAAAAGTATAGTTTTTTTAACCTGACATGACAGCATACACTAAAATATGAAGATTACTAAGTTTAAGCAAAGATAAGATTTTTTTTGGTTGTAGACATCAGAATGAAGGCTTGTTTCCTGGTTTTTGTGGTAGCAAATGCACAGCTTAATCTAAGCGGGATTTACACTGGCAAATGTCCACCTCAGATGGCCCCAGCAGCAGTCCGGGAAGCACAGGCTGCTCAGAAGAGGATTATGTGATCATGTGAGTCTTTTAAATCCTTCAGTGACTCCCTGCTCTGTGCCAGGACTGTGCTTAGCAAATGTGAGCCAAAAAAGACCCAAAACAGACCTAGGAGTGGCAGTCTGATGAGGAAAACAGACAATCACACAGACAAAAACATGCCATTACCTCCTGTGCTCAGTTCTAAGAGGGAGCATTAGAGGAGAGTAAGGGGGTGACCCAATCCAGTCTAGGGGTCAGCAGCAGCTTTCCCAGAGGATGTAACGTGTCCAACTAGTAGAAGTTAACCAGGTATAGAAGGAAAGGGAAAGAACATTCCACAGTGAGGAACCAGTTGAGGCAAAGACCTAAAGCAAGAGGGGCAAAGCCTGTTGGAGATGCTAATGAAGCAGAAAGGTGGGGAAGGGGAAGGAAGGGAACTGTGGATTTGGGTTTGGAAATGTAACAAACCCTCCCTGTGTAGTGAGAAATGAGGTTAGCAGGCTCCAGACAATAGTATGCCAAGTATGTCAGCCTTTATGAAAGTAATGGCAAGTAGGAAATAACAGGATCAGAATTTCTGTAAAGAGTGGGTTGAAGGTGGGCTGTCCATAGGTGGAATACAGTTGCCAGCCTACTGCAGTAAACCTGGCGTAACACAGGAAACTAAACCAGAGGGTGGCAGCGAACAGAAGTGGGCCATCCTTGCTGATCCCAGCTTAGTAGGGAGAAAAGTTCTCCCTACCTTCAAGTTCAAATCTTCGTTTCATTTCTCTACCAACATTTTACAGCTTGACTTGGGCTTGATATTTTAAAAAATTAAAAACGCCTGTATTGCATTTCCTGGAATGAACATGAAAGTACTACGGACTTTCAACTACACTATTGAGTAGGCAACATTAATTTCATTCATTTTATAGGCCAATCAGAACCCTGAAGGTCAGACTGACCGAGGGATTGGCCTGTCACAGAGCCAGAGAGAACCCAAACTGGGAGGCCAAATCTGTTGGAATCTGCAACCATGTCCTTTCTTGTTTACTCTAGTTCTTGCGTAGCTACAACTTCTACCCCTTGCTTTTTCCTAACATACATTGGCCACCCATTTAAAATTAATACATCCAATGTAGCATGATATCAGTTTGCCAAAGGCTAAGAAAGTAGAACCCATAAGTTAGCCATTCTAGCTTTGCCCAGAATTAACCACAAGGTCTTAAAAGCAAACTGTTTTGCCTCCATTTTTCATTGGTCGGATGGAGACAATGATATAAGTATATAAAATAAAAGTATTATCACTAATAACTGTAAGAGCTCCATGAGGTAGAGCTCAGTGCCTGCCTCAGCAAGGACTTTCTGCCCAGCTGGGTGGCCGGTCCGCAGCTGCCTCGAGCTGGCAGATCCTCCCGCGGGACTGAGCAGCTGGGAGCCTCTAGCCTCTAGCCTGCATTCAGTGACGGAGCAAGGGGGATCGAAAGGCCGGCCACTTCAGCTAACACAGGGCACTGCTGAGTGGAAATGTTTCCCTGCTGGGTCCATGGAGGTTTGCCAGGGTGCAGGCAGTTCAGCTTCTCCCTCCCAGAATGTGCTTCCTCCTCCCCCTTTCGCAGGTGATAGCTTCTAATAAACATCCTGCACCCCAAACTCCATCTTCCCACTGCTTCTGGAGAATCCAAACTGCCACACTCTACTTACCTACTTTGGACATATTAACTAGGTCAACATGAAACTTAACTACATACTTGAAACACCAAGAAGAGGCCTATTGAGTAACTTGATTTTAAATTGTTCTACTAATTAATAGAAGTATATTTTTATTCCATATTTTAAGCAAAGCAAGTCCTAGCTGATATTTTGAAAAAAATATCAATTTAATGATAGGCCAAGTTTGAACATTTGACTTTTTATTCCAAATAACTTAGGAAGAATGTTATGAAGCTAAAAATAAAAGGATAAAACTAATGTATCATATCTAATAATATGACAGTATTATTAACAGTACCACAGTGACACTGTTACAGCACCCCTATATAGCAGAGATCTATGTGAAAAATACACAATACTCCTTTTGTAACTAACACAGAAGGGAACTTTGGCCTCTGCTCTGTGCTTATCTAATTCATATATTTAGGACTTGGAGTAAACATTTCCCTTCATATCATATATCATATCAAAACAAAACTGATTACTTCTAAAAAAGGAATAAAACATGTATTCTCATTATAATAAATCACTTCAAATAATCATTCAAAGAACGTGTAATTCTACTCTTACAGAGCACAAACTTTCAACTATATCTTGAAAGAAATTCTGAAATATAAAAAGAAAATTAATAACATCGATAGGGTTATTTCTTTATGGACACATGTAATTCCATGATGTAAAAGACTACAAAAACAAGTAAAACAACCAAGTTGTGTGTAATATCCTTCAGTCTAGTTTTCAATGCCCAGCTGGTCCTATAACTGCTTGGCACCAATAAATTAACTATCAGCATTTTTGCCAGCAAAGCATAATATAAAAACAAAAAACAAAAAAACCAAGGGATAGAAGATCCACTCTTGAGTTACTGCCAAGACTTTATGCAAACAGAACCACTTAATTTTAGCATTCCTATTGGAGTGGAATCATGCTCATTCTGGGAAAGTCTTTTCTCCAACCCTCCTGAAACCAGAAAGCTCTAAATATACGGCCACTGAATTAGACATGCAGAGAGGCCAAAAGGTCCCTGTATTTATTGTCCAGCATTTATTAATGAAAAAATTTTTACTGAGCACCTACTATGTTCCAATTAATGTTTGGGTGGCTAAACCTATTCCAATAGTGATTACCTTGTTCAGTGAACAGAAACAAGAATTCAGGAAACAGATTTGGTTCAGAAACCCCCCTCACATGAAAATGACAGAAAATGTACTCCCATATATTAAGAGTGAATTAAGGAACCATATATTATATGTAAAGTAAAGAGTACTGATTATTACTCTCTTAATGGTATACAGAGAATACTGCAGAAAAATCAATTAGCCAATTGATTCAGCTGGAATATTGAACCCAATTTCTTTCAGAGGCAGGAACAGCTGTCAGGTTTTGGTCAACTACCATCTTAGTAAGGCTGTTTAAATGGAAAGCTGGATGGTGCTGCCATGTTATATTGCATGTTATTCAATGTTACCAATAAATATGCTGTAAACATTTAATATTGAGAGACGCCATAGGAATTCTTGGAAGTCACAAACTTCTAAATGTATTGTAAGCACTTATGTATCATTTTTATAAACAGAATCTGGAAAGTATGATATTATTTCCCATTTTAGAATTGTCATATTCCTTACTGAATTCAAAACCAAGCCAAATATACACTACTTGATCAAAAGCGAGGCTGCAAAAATAACACTTTGACAAACTGAAAGAAAAATGTCACCTCCTGCAGAGAAATAGAGGTGTTGAAACAAATAAGGTTGATTCTTGTTTTATTAATGTTTAATCATTTGTAGGGCACACTTCATTTGCAATGAAAATACTTGTTCATCAAGTTAGAAAGATAAATGATAATTGCTTTTTGAGCATTTAATATTAACTGGATGAAGGCAGGGAACTAGCAAAAGGACAAAAACTAAAATTTAACAGTTCTTCCTAAAACTTCTCTCATATTTTTGGTGTGCTGTAGAAGGAAAGAATTTTAAACAGAAAATTACACTCTTTTATCCTTCAATCATGACTAATTAAATACTTGGTAAGAGTAGAAGAGTAGATCAACTTTTTAAGTTCAATTTCTTTTTCAAAAAATCAATTGTATGTGCAGGATGAGAGAATCAGGGATTCATTCTGTAAAGACTATGTTAATGTTTAATTTGGTTGTGTTTTAAAGAATCTGAAGGCTCCTGCAGACTGTTTTCATTCTATGCCAACTACCCCATTTCTGGGCACAACCACAGAATTTTAGTGCCACCTCCATAAAAGCCAAGGGAGTAAGTTTATTTTTCCCAAGGTTCAACAGAGATCTCTTGTGCCTAGTATGAGGGCAGTAGATTCATGCATTAATGCATATTTTTATTAAGCTCTCTCTCACTTAATTTCACATGCTACAGATATTTTCCAAAGGTTTTATAAACCCTCTAGTTTTCTGACTTAAAAATCCAAAATAGAGCCACAGGTGCTACATATCTAAATATTCCTTACCCAAGTGAATAATACAAAAATCTCTCAAACCTACCAATCCCAGCTTTAAATCATTTTAGAATTAATCTTCAGGAGATAAATGGCCAAATAGCTCCCAAAGTTTCTAAAGCTTTTCTTGCCTTAGGAAGGAGTTGGCTTCCCATATGGCACAGAGAATCCAACTGGTCACCCACCCAGCTGGTCTCCCTGAGTTCTGGGCTCCACATACTTCCAAGTCAACATCCAGGAAATAGGGGCATGAAAAGACTTCCAAGGGAGTAATATCTGCACAGGCAGTGGCTATGAGTGTGGATTTTGGAGTCAGCAGACCAGGGAGTGCCTCCTGGTTTTGCCAGTTACTGAGTGTGTGACACTGGGCTATTTATTGAACTTCTCCAAGCCCCAACTTCCTCATCTTAAGATGAAGGTGAAAGATTCACTTTGGGAAATTGGGTGAGAATCTAGTGAGTTGCTGAGGGAAGTTGTGCCCTGTGAGATATTAGGGCTTCTTATGAAGCTAACTAATTAACAAAATATGACTATGACAGGAATAGACATACTGACCTATGGAATAGAAGAGAGCTCAGAAATAAATCCCACACACATATATAATTTTAATATATGACACAAGTGGTAAATTATGATAAAAATGAAAATTGAACCTCTATTTCACACCACACAAAATGAATTCCAGATGGATCAGGACTAAAATACCAGAAGCAAAACTGAAAAGTTTAAGTTGAAATTTTTTTTAAATTCTTTATAACCTTGACAAGGAAGTTTTTCTTTAAAAGACACAAAATTTTTCATTATAAAATATTAATAAATTTGACCCTGTTAAAAGCATGGATATCTGATCATTCAAGTCACCTTAGAGAAGGTGAAAAAATGAGTTTCAAACTGGGAGAGGATATCTCCCATTCATAAATCACCAAAAGATTACTATCAAAAATATATTAAAAATTCCTGTAAGAATAAGAAAAGCTCAACCAATCCAATTTTTTAAATTACGCTAAAGACATGAACAGACATTTTTTAAAAGAAGGAATATATATGGCAATAAATATTTGAATAAATATTTGACCTCATTAGTGACCAGAGAAATGCATATGAAGACCATTATAAAACCACACAATTAGCAAAAATTAAAAAGTCTAATAATAACAACTGTTTAGAGAGAATATGGATGAACAAGATTTCTTAAGTATTGCTGGTTGAAATGTAAACTGGTACAACTACTTTGGAAGGCAGGACTGCATTATTTTGTAAAGCTGACCATTCAGATACTCTGACCCATTTGCAATTCCAGTCCAAAATAGGATCTAGAGGAACTCTTATACACGTAGAGCAGATGACATATACAAGAATGTTCATGGCAATAGCATTTATAACATAAGTCTGGAAAAAACCCACATGCCTGTTTTCAAGAAAATGTGTAAATAAATGTAGACAATAAACCCCCTATGGAATGTTACACAGCCCTCAAAAAGCATATGCTACTGATGTATGCCAAAGTAGAGATAGACCTTGGTAATATAATGCTGCCTGAAAAGTTAAGTCCTAAAAGATTGGCAATACCAAGATACCCGTTTATCAAATAAAAACTCAAATATAAAATTTAATGATATATTAAACCAGCAATCCAAATAATAAACTGAAGTGCCTAACTCTCTAAAAACTTATCTAAAAGCACAAATCTTCTGAATTTCCATAGTGTAATATGCAATCTACTTAACTTCATTTGATAAACAAAATTATGTACTTCATCAAGATCAAATAAAATATAAATAGATAAAACTGAAAGTGTACAGTGGTAGATGTTAAACCATATCCCATTATTTATTAAGAATAATTTTGCTGCTAATTTAAGGATGGAGATCATATACTCAGTCATAAAGACAGTCTTGGAGAACTCTAGAAAACCAGAAAAAATTTAGATATATTATTATGAGAGGTACATTTTGGAAAACAGCTCAATCACATAATTTATCCTGCCACACTTGGTCCATCTGTAGCCATTTCTGAGTGAATGGGGAAAGCCATACATTTACTCAAAGACTATTTTTAAGCCCAGTAAGGAAATCTCATTAGCTCCTAAGTTAGAAGCCAGGAGAGCTTGGCAGCCTTCACATGTGGGAAACCTATTGAGCAGTGAATAGAATAATTATTCCCAAGGACTGTGTATTCTGGACATGGGAATGCAACTCAGTGCTCCATGAAATTGTCCCCCCCACTTTCAGACTACACTAAAAATGTGGGGGTTTTCCCCTCTTTAATGTCATTAGTCTATTCTGATGACAAATATTGCCTTTGGTTGCCAGATATTTAATATACTAGTTATATGAATGCAACAAATCAACCTACTGTCCAGAAAACTGGAAAATCTCTGCTATTTTTGTCCTGAATATTAAGATAGTGCTTAACAGGGATTGGAAAATCTGCAAATTAAATATAATAGCACTACCATGAGTTTTCATTACTATAGGTATGTAAGTTCCATTCTTACATGTCTTATCCTCATTTATAAAGAATACGTACAAAATAAAGGTCTTTCTCTCTTGAAATGTAGAACAAAATAGTGGCAAGGTGGTTTTAAGCAATATGATTTCAGTGTTCTTCATCAACCATTCCAAGTGTCAGAGTAGTGTTCTATTTGTCAGTGGCAGAAGGTATCAAAACACTGGGAGAACATAATAAGAAAGCACCCATAAAACGATGGAATTGAGAACACAATACAAATGTAGATAAATGCCTTGTTAGGGAACTGAAAACACTGAAATGGATTATGTTTTCTAAATCAATAATGTCCAAAATTATTAGGTATTTGATTCATGATAAACAATAACCAAACCACATACATTTTTATTTCCCGTAAAGAATTCCATGATGTCCTAATTTCAAAAGAACGCATACACACATACCAAAACTACATGCATATATTGACAATTTTAATGACATGTAAATTAATATGATTCTTCTGGAGAGCATGGACTTGAGCTTAATCATACACATGTCTGTCCCCCAACTATACTGTAAGTTGAGAGAAAGGGCTGTCTTATTCAATGCTGTATCCCAAGGGCATGATACAATATTGGTGCTTAGAAAATATTTTTTGAATGGACGAATGAATTTGGCATAATGCTTTCAAGAGCCTTTAAAATTTTTTTGCACCCCTTTAAACCAGTAATTCTACTCCCAGGAATTTATCCTAAGGAAATTCAGAGACACAAAAATAAACATACAAGGATGATTATTGCAGCATTATTTCTAACACAAAATTTTAATGTTCAACAAGGGAATTGGTAAATTGTGGTATATCACACAATATAATATAGCACTAGGCAATTGTTTAGAAGTGTATTTATGGGGATAACTACACTTACAGTTGTGAGCATTTAGTAATTCTTATCATTACTGAATCACTATGCTATACATCTGAAACCAATGTAATATCGTATGTCAACTATATAACAATTTTTTTAAATGCAAAAAAAGTGAAAGTGTACTTTAAAAGTGTAATTACTGACAAGGTGAATTTTCATGACATTAACATTATACATACAATCTAAATAGTGTGTGTATATATATATATATATACACATCTAGATATAATCTATTACATAGGTATAAATGAATATATTTGTATACATAGAAAAAGAACTTGTAGAAAGAAAATACACCAAAATGTTAAAGGTAGTTAACACATTTTGCTAACAAACAGAACTTAATATATTTAAAAGCTTACAAAATAATTAAAATTATATTTAACAAATGAAATATAAGTGAATTTAGTTAATAATAAACATACTTTTTGTGTATGTGTTCTATCTGTAAGCTATCCAACAACCACACACAGAAAAAAAGCATTTGGTATTTAGTCTTATAAGTCAGAAATGAGACATTCATAAGGAAGAGGAAAATATGTAAATACAGTTTAAACACCACAAGAGTAACTCCACCAAAACGAGCACATGTTTTAAAAATAGTCATGCAAATAAAATATCTCATTGGAAAGGTAAATATTAGTGAATATTTTGTTTGAAATATAGACTTATTCATATTTAAAGTAATGATAACAGTGTGATACGCTTTACAAAAACATATAAAATCTTTTAAAATAGTAAATACAGTTGTTTCCATATTTTGTTTTCTAAAAATAAAACTGCTACCGATTCTTATCAAGAGCATGGGATTTTCCTCCTTTAATATGTTTTATGTTATTGCTAGCTAAAATCAATGAGAGTATCAGAATTTTGGACTCTTCCAGTGGAAATTTTGCTTCCCTACTGGAAGACAATCTAAAGTCACATAGCCCGAGTCTGCCTCCCTGTATAATCTGTCCACACAGAACCACAAAAGCTGCTAAAATTAAACACTGAAGACAAAATTCAATTAAAAGTTTTTAGGTTTTTTAATTCTTTGAGTATTGTCTTTTTTTTTTTTTTAATCACAAGAAAGTCCCCACTACTGAGGTCTCAAAACAGAATCCAAAAGCATGGATGGCTCTTATCTGGGTGTTAGGCCATCCATATGCACAGGTTCATTCTGTAGCTGAGTTTACTATGCTGTTTAGTGTCTGAATCCTTTTTCTCCTTGTTAATTGGATAAAGCTGAATAGTTTTTCATGAAATTTTAGGATATTCTATACTCAGACAACCAATATTAAGATTTTAAGAAAGATAGAGAGAGCTCAGTATAATTATTGCAGCAACCTAGAAGCCCAAGTAGGCTAAAAGCTAAACAACCAAGAGTGCTGAATATCTTAAATCCAGCTCTAAAAAACAAACAGACCTGGAAAAATATTGCAAGACCTTGTACATATTTCTGAACTGCTGCCCTGGCAAACTGACATGAGAAAATGAATGTCTTCCCTAAGTAACACACGAATTTGGGTCACAGTCTCAGTTACTATTCAGTTGAGACAACCATGAAGTCAAATTTTAAAATAAGAGTTCTGCTATATCTGAGATGACAGAACTTGGTGTACAGATAACCTAGTCACAAAGGAGACTTTATCACCATATGAAAGAATATCATAGATACCAACAAGAATCATTTATGTTAAAGCATTTTAATGATTAGTCAATATGAAGAAATATCAGTCTATTAAAGGAGAAAACCCAACAAATGTCATCACTGGCAATGTCATCACAGATGTTTCCCTGGCTATATAACTTTCCATTTGTCACAGGCACAAACTTTAACATTAATATTTGAAATGGCCACAAGGTACCAAAACTATTACTTATGATAATAAACTTTCAGCTTTTCCAAATCTGAATCTTTCAGCATTCATATGAATGTTTATAATCATGTAACTAAAGTCTATACCATGTTAACCTGAAGTAGAGAAAATCTTAAGCAAACTCCCACAGTATATGACTATTTTCAGCGAATTGTGTACTTCTTAAAACACAGAACACAGAAAATGTTAAGAATAAGGCCCACAAGCCCAGTTTGAAAAAGACAGATGTACCCCCATGTTTACCGCAGCACTATTTACAATAGCCAAGAAATGGAAGCAACCTAAGTGTCCATCAGTAGATGAACGGATAAAGAAGATGTGGTACATATACACAATGGAATATTATTCAGCCATAAGAAGAAAACAAATCCTACCATTTGCAACAACATGGATGGAGCTAGAGGGTATTATGCTCAGTGAAATAAGCCAGGCAGAGAAAGACAAGTACCAAATGATTTCACTCATATGTGGAGTATAAGAACAAAGGAAAACTGAAGGAACAAAACAGCAGCAGAATCACAGAACCCACGAATGGACTAACAGTTACCAAAGGGAAAGGGACTGGGGAGGATGGGTGGGAAGGGAGGGATAAGGGTGGGAAAAAGAAAGGGGGCATTATAATTAGCATGTATAATGTGGGGGGGTAGGTAAGGGGTAGGCTCTACAACACAGAGAAGACAAGTAGTGATTTTATAGCATCTTACTACACTGATGGACAGTGACTGTGTAGGTGTATGTGGGGGGGACTTGGTGAAGGGGGGAGCCTAGTAAGCATAATGTTCTTCACGTAATTGTAGATTAATGATACAAAAAAAAAAGAATAAGGCCCACAATCCTAAATATTAGGGAGATCTTGAAGCATAAAAAAATAATTTTAGAATTAAAGGAAATAGTTCTTTATACAAGAACTAATGAACATCTGGCAATCACTATCTTAAAGAATTTGCAAAAGATAAAAATACAAACAAGTTTACAAAGGTGTTTGAGAAATGCACTGGTAATAGAGCAGGAGCCAGTTCTTAAAGAAAATATATTCAGAACACCTGCCTTACCTCAGAGACAAGGCTATAGGTGCAGTGACAGAGGCTGCAAGTTGCCTCACGATGTCTGTTCTGCTCTGATATGGTGTCAGTACTTTTAGTTGGCCATATGGCACTTAGCTAAAAACTCATGTCCCAGCCTCCATTGCTGCTAGCATGGTCATATAACTAAGTTTTGGCCAACAGGATGTGAGTACACATAATATATGCAACTTCTCAGTCATGATCTTCCCCCTGGCTGGAAAATAGTTGAGGTAGCCAGAGCTACAGCAGCTACTTTAGACCATGAAATGAAAGATACATAAGCATCAAGGCACAAACAACCTGGGTATTTGTAACTGTGGAACTATAGTCAGTCCTGAACCTTCATCTACACATACAGATGGGAGAAGAATAAGCTTCTGTCTTCTTGTACCATGGTTATTTAGGGTTTATAAAGAGCAATCAGTCATTACTCAAAATAACATAGCACCTAACATTTATTTAGCATTTATTACATACTATACACTGTGCTAAGTGCTTTACATACAATCTAACTTATTTGCACAAAACAAAAATACTTTAAAGCAATTATTATTATCCCCAGAAAATTGGGCCTCATGAAGGAGAGGTAAGTTGCCTGGAGTTACTCAGCTATCTGATTCTCATGCCACAGCCAGACTGTGAACCACCACTCTATGCTCTAAATTCCATTTGCCTGATCTGGAAAGCAACCCCTACAAAACATTCCAAGAACACTGAGTTGTAGGTCCCTCAGATTTGACTGATGTATCTTCAAGACTATGCAGTATAGAAATGATAAAAAGTTACATAGCTAAGAACCACAGAGGAAAAAATCTTTCCCACTGCCACTCCAATGTGATACAATTTGAAGGCATGACATGAAACACCACCGTACACCACTCACAAAAACTGACTCAAAATGGAGGGAAAATGTAAATGTAAAACCTGAAACCATGAAACTCTTAGGAGAAAATACAGGTTTTCTTTTCAATATAATGTAAATCAAAACCACAATGGCTATCATCTCATCAAAAAGTCAAGAGATAACAAGTTTTGGCATGCCAAAGCTCCTTGACATGGGTCTTGGTAATGATTTTTTGGATATGACATCTAAAATACAAGCAACAAGAGGCAGGAGATTCAAGATGGCAGCATGAGACATGAGACAGAGAACTCCTTTCAAAACCACATATAATATGAAATTATAGTTAATACAACTAATCCTAAAACAGCAACAGGAAAGAAGGCTGCACCAGACTGCATACAGACCTCACGAACAGAGTAGACCTCATGAAACAGGGTAATGTTCGAAAGCCTTGATCAGGCGGAACTCAAGCCCTTCCCCGACTCCAGCTCACCAGCAGGAGGAGGAAAAATGGAGCAGGGAGTGGG